CGCGTCGCATCATCTTTCCGCACATTTAAAGTTCAGTTTATACTGGTTATGTAAAGCTAGATGTGTAGCCATGTGTACAAGAATCAAACAAGAATCAAATTTTTCTTTCCTTGGTTCATGATTAAATGTGTCTATTGAACACAATAGTTTATGTAAATTGTAAGGTTCATTCCAGGCGAAGTCTTAATAACATTTTCGATCATCATAAATCTCAGTCTGAGATTGTCAAAAAATAAAGTTTATTATGGATAGCCTATTCAAAAAACCACAGGTAATTCATTAAGTGATGGTAATTGTTAACAACATTTTTTTGTTCAGCGCTGAACTGAAGCAACCGTTATTTATAACGGTAACAACTATAACTGTATCGTTCACCGTTAAAATTGGTGACAAATAGTTTTTTAAACAAACTATTCTTTAGTTTTCAATTGTTAATATGAGATGAGCACTAACAATTTCTATCATTTCTACAATTATTTGAGGTATGGTTAGGCAGTAAAAATCTCGTAATTAAGTATGCTGACATAAATATATTGAGAAAAGATAATATTTATATAAAGAAAATATATTATTCTATTCACAATTGTGAAACACACACACACATACACACACACACATATTCAGTAAAATTTATATTATTTATATAATTTCATGTTTATTTTCTGTCCTCATTGAGGGGCGGTACCGCCGTCCGTGAGTCACTGCAGGGTGCCACCTGAAAACCAGCGTTGGGTAGAAACGTCCAACTAAATGCTGAGGTGGAGACCCTTTTGGCATGAGCACGCGCAAATTAATATTATTATTTTGTTTATTACATTTTTTTTTTGTTTATTCAAAATTCTGTTATCATCGTATTATTATTTTGTTATATTGTGATGTTTTCTGTTTGTTTATAGAGGTATATATGTATTGCCCTTGCCCGGTAGTCGCACTTGCAACCACTCGGCCAACGAGGCAGTTAGAAACAGTCTCAGAGAGAGAGCAGTTATATACGAAATATTTCGAATTTTAAATTATACGTCATTTTAATATTCAAACATGGAACTTAATGCCCATGGATCAATGACACCTTAAACTTTTTAATCGAAAAGGCCTTCGATCAACAATAGCAACTAGATAAAGGGTTACGTACAAAATCAAGCTCCAGTTCTGTCCGTGTGAATAATAATAGTAAAAATATAACAAACGGAGGAAAATGTTTTAAAATAGTTTTAAGTTCAACCTAATAACAACCATGGCACCTAATAATAAAGTCATAAATCGTCAAAATATTATCTAATACTTACGACCATTCGTCATATAAGACGAGAAAAGCATTTTCTTACTCCTGTCATGTAGAAATTAAAAGACATAAGTTACACAATATCTAGTATGAATTCAACCTTAAGATACAACAAATAAAGAAAATTTTTCTGTTATTGCCTTGCGATCTATATCGTTTTGTTTTGTTACGTTTTGCTTTTTCGAATTTCGAATTTCGCTACAGGAGGTATGTATGGAGTCGCGTTGAACACTTAAATAATTTTATAATATGAAAATTAAGATTTCGGGATCTTAGTATACATCAATTATTTTTATTAGCGGTACGTTTTTGTGTATGATATTATGTTTATATACTTTATTATTAAAAGTTTAAGTCTGAGTCAAAATCATTTATTTCAGTTAGACCAGGAAGGCACTTTTGAACGTCAACAATATAAATTTAAAAGTGAAGCTATTTGCTCATTCCAAGGTGTAGATTCCTATGGAGAAGAACAAGCAAGAAACTCTATAGGTTAGATACTCTTTTCCAATCAGGTTACAATACAATTTTATTTTACAATACAAATCGACTCCATGCATCCACTGTTCTGTTTAAACAAATGTTTGTGCGCATGTTGGCGAGGCTTGGCCAAGGGATCGCCAACACACGCACAAACATTGGTGGCTTTGGTTTATAATTGGTAATTTTATCTAATTTGCTATTATTTACTAGTTCAAAAGCTTAAAATATAACTTATACTTTATGTACTTATCAAAAGTAAGACACTCCGGCCGTTATACTGTTTTTTCGGTTATAATTTTTCCACGCACTGCGGCATCGCGAGACGTGAGAACGTTGGCCGTGTTTGGAGCATACTAAACAAAATAAGAGCTCACTTCTCAAGTGAGCTCTTATTTGTCGAGACGATTTTCTTGCGCCGACCCGATATCTAGTTGTTATTGTTGATCGAAGGAAAAGGCGTTTAAATCTAACAGAATTTATGTGAGTACAGAATAATTTAATCCGACATCGTTCATAACATTCATAGTTTTAGTAATTAACCAATGCAGTTCAATATTCAGCTGAATCAGGTATTAAATTCCACGCTAACATTAATTACGAATAATTGAAGCAATTGTTAATAGTGTTGTTATAACCATGATTGCTGAGGAACCAGACACAAATTCATTTCCGAGCAGAGGAATAGTGTTTTCAGTCTCTAGTTAATTCTTAACGACTGCCTCGTTGTCGTTAATGACTGCCTCGTTGGCCGAGTGGTCGCAATTACGACTGCCGGGCAAGGGGTCTCGGGTTCGATTCTCGTGTCGGGCAAAGTATTACTGGGCATTTTCAAAAAAACTCAGTAGTAACACTGAGTCTGGAATTGTACCCGGTATATAGCAATTGGCTCATCCCCTATTACATGGGTCTCATAACATAAATAGTGAAAAGTGGGTGTTACATTGTACAGTGGCTTAAGTGCCGTAATGTACACCTCTGCCTACCCCTTCGGGGATAAAAGGCGTGATGTTATGTTTATATGTTTGTTAATTCTTAATTGTAGAATAAAATTGACTTTCGATAGTTTTTAGTACGGCTAAATATTTAAAAGTTATTTCTCAGTTAATCTGATATTGGAAAAATCGACCCTTCCTTAAACTTAGTAACCAAATAAATGTTTTATCTTTGACTTTGGAAAAAAAGGGTGTCACAGTAAACAATATGCACCTCTGCCTATCCCGCATACCGTATAAACATTCCGTTCATATCATGAGTGAGGTGTATTAATTAAATTATAAATTGCAATTAAAGGTGCATTATGTTCGCAATTTAGCACGTAATTTTATTACTGTTGTTAATAAATTGGATAACAAGAGCTCTGTTTATTAAATAAATTCATTTTGCACGTTTTTTTTGACCATGGTTTCCAGTCAGCAGCCCTTTTTCGCAGCCTTTTCAAGTATGGGAGAGCCATGCTTCGGCACGTGTGGGACGGCTCGACCGGAATTATACCACGGCCTCACATAAAAACAATTTGAAGCAACGCTTGCATTGTGTTTTGTCGTATGAGTGAGGTTACCGGAGGCCCAATTACCCTCCCCTTCCCTAATCTCCCCAATCCCTGAATCCCCAACGATACTCAAACTCCTAATCCCTAAAAGGCCGGTAACGCACTTGTAACGCCTCTGGTGTTCTAGGTGTCCATGGGCGACGCCGATTGCTTACAATCAGGTGATCCGTCTGCTCGTTTACCGGCTTATGCCATAAAAAAACGCTGTTCACATTTCAGCAGCTGTTGGGACACCCCTCTGTTCTACTATCGTGTTCTGGTTACCAAATATCTACATGAAAATGCTTTGTCTTTACTAAGAATAAAAGAGCAATACCTTTTTTCCAAAATTCTATTTACAATTCAAGCTTTAATAAAACCATAACTATCAACTAGAATATGTTTATCTAATCTAAACTCCACTTTATTGTCTAAAACATAGGTTTCAAATTCAATCAACTTCAATGCATTTTATCCACCAGCGTCCCAATATCACCCTCGGAAGATTATCCCAGCTAAAAATATCCAAAATGGCTACTCATTTGTTTCAACAAAATTTCTAAGGAGATGGGATGTTAGGGATGGCACGTAAATAGATCAAAGTAAAAAATAATTGGTCCCTCAGACCCTTGGATCCAAGGAGTTTATGAAGACGGTCCCAAAGTCTGATTTAACATGGGACAAAATTCTAAGATTAGCTACTTATGAAAAGAGGACCTGGTATAAACTCTTCAAGTATGAAACATAGTGAATAAATTCACGGTTCAAATACCCTTTTTCACCAACCCAAATTTTAAGGAATGCTTAAGCTAAGATATGTAAATTTTATGATCTCACTAATATGTGAGTGCAAAATAACTGCACAAGTAAGGGGCTAGTTTAGGTAATAACCATGTCACTCTAAGTAACTTTTAGTTAAAAGATGGTTAATCTTTTTGATTAAAGACAAATGTTAGATAATAAAAATATTGATTGCATAATATAATTTCACGCCTCTTATCCCTGAAAGGGTAGGCAGAGGTGTACATTACGGCACTTAATGCCATTGTACAATGTAACACCCACTTTTCACTATTTATGTCATGAGTTCCTCAAGTAATAGGGGTGCCCGGTTTATGGCAATAAGCTTACTATTGCCATAAACCGGGCACAGTTCCAGGCTCCGTGCGAAAACTGAGATTTTTTTTTAAAAACCCCGTAATACTTTGTTCTACCCAAGAATCGAAGAATCGAACCCGAGACGGCAGTCGCACTTGTGACAACTCAGCCAACGAGGCAGTTTCAACTTTAGTAAATAAATTATTAATTATGTCTTATTACAAGGAACTATTCTCAAAAGTAGAAATAAAATTAATAAATAAAACCAAACTTTATAGACGTCTATTTATTTTAAAATAATATGATACAGTGTGATACTATATAATATAATTAGAACATCTTTTTTCGCTTATACCTTAAAATTGGTACAAATCTTTGGAATATATCTTAATTTATATAAAAGCCATCTAATTGTATTATTATTTACATTAATTTCACATTTATTTTACATTGAATATATATATATATTATCTAACTGTCCTTAATTTATGATATACCTCTATATTAAAATATATAAATAAATTTCTTTGGTCTTTTAAACCTAATATCATATTATATTTTACAAAATTGAAATATGTTTTCTTTATGCTTAAAATACATTTACGTCACTAACGATTTTACATATTATACGTACTGGAATTTGCTTAAGAAATTAAAAAAAATCGAGCAATTCATAAACTTGATTAGACTCAACCAAATGTAAAAAAATCAGTATTAAAACCTACGTAACTGTGTTTAAAACAAAAATCTAATTTAGAATAAAAAAAATGTTTTCTGTGTGCGTAAAACTAAACGCAGATCACATCTTCAAAAAATCACTATTTCAAAATAAAACATATTTATAATCAATACGAACCTTCTTTTGTTTTTGATTGTCACTTGAAGAAAATGTCCCAATCAGCCATTGATTAACACTTCCAAAGGCTTAGGTCCCATTCTATTTACTTTAAACCATATTGAAACGCCATAAAGTGGATTTTCCAAGATATTTATTTCATCCATTGTATTTAACTACAGGCTTTACCGCTTATGCAGTCGAGAGCTCAGTTAGATATAAACTTATGGACATTTAGCTAGTCTAGGTTTAAACCAGACTTAGCTTCAAATGTGCACTCCATACTCAAGTGTGTAAAGCGCTGTATTATTCGCTGCATTAATACAGTGAAAAATACAAAAATGCAGTTTTAAATAATCTCTCAAGCAAATTCCGTTATCATAAATAAAATAATTGGGTACATTTTACAAGTGCATTAATGTCATGGATTAATATTAAATTAATTGCAAATAAACATTGGTGCTATGACTTATCTACTTATATAAAAAACAATAAAACATTTCTGTTTTTGGAAGCGAACTTTAAAAGTTACTCAAATTTTGGATATACTGCACGCTAAAGACTTGCATATGATACAAGCAGTGTCCAAAACAAAGATACAGAAATAGCATTATTCACATTAAACGCATGAAAACATTTTATAACATATACTTATGTCCTTACACATAATCTTAAATTCTAACTTGTCTTACATTTATGAAGATACGTAGACTGCACTTCTAAGAAGACTTTCATTGTTCTGGTCGTATACAAAAGATCTATTTAGTAGTTTAAAAAGGAGCAATGTACTGGGTTTACTTAATTTTGGAAAAAACAAAATACAATAGCTGCCAGTAATAAAATTGAATTTGAAATACAATATTAACATTATTGAACCAATTTTTAGAACAGAGAAAACAGAGTTGTCTACAGTCTACAGTTGTGTACACGAAAATCCGCCATCTTTATCATTGCTCCCCAAAACACAGACACATATTAAACAACAAATGAAGCGCTAACATTAATCACATAGTATAATATGTAAACATCAAAAAATAAAAATTATAACATTCATTGTCTTTTATATCGCCGAAGGTCCCATATTCCCTATCTGGTGATGCATTTCTCATCGAGGTCTCCAGTTAGGAAGTCATTGGTGTCCCTGATGGTCATAATGGTCACACCATCAGCACTGTTCCTGGATATGATGTTGCTCTTCTTCTTAGAGCTTCCATAATCGTAGTTTGATATCACAACGCTCTCTGTCGGGTTCCTGTAAAAGATAGAACAATTACCGTTGGAGTTGTAGGATTTGTTGGGATTGTTGTGGTTTGGATAGTCGCGTATGATGTTATTGTTTTGCTAGTGATGTCTCGGGTGGAGTTTGCCTTTGTGCCAAGATATGTTATAGCATCTTAGGATGAGCTTATTAACATATTTTATGCTTATGTTACATTATATTTTGTAATGTCTAAAGTCGACGGTTTACTAACACGTAGCATTTTTTTATAAAGAACTAGCTGTTACCCGCGAGAAGTAGCGTTCGTCTGCGTAGAATATAAATTTTAAGAAAATGACTTTTTTTTCATTTTGTCCAAAATAAAAGTAGCCAATGTTACTCTTTAGTACATCAGCTACCTCCCAATAAAAGTCTTGCAAAATCGGTCTAGCCATTCCAGGGAGTAGCCAGTGCAAACATACAAACAGAATGATAAAAAATGGTATTTTGCTATGTGTAATTATATATCGTATGTACCTATATTCATAGGCATGTAGTAAAAAGTGATTATTTTAATATTAGAAACACACACTCCAATTATATTTATCTGTATGGATTTAGTATAAGAATAATACTGTTCGCCATTACATTATCTATAATAATAATTTCATTTGCGATGGAAGTAGATCGATCACGCACTGGACATCGACAGTATAAGAGAAGTTACAAGAGTTACTGGCTGGATTGTGGCGAAGCATGACTTTCTCCATGTGAGTTCAAATCTTGATATTCAATTGTTAGTTAACTCTTTACCCACCCACATCTTAGATAAAGAAATGCGGGTAGAAAACCTACCAAGAACCCAGAAACTGAACTGTTGTGTATCTTTCAAGTTTGTCTGAGTCAATATGGGGCTTGCCATTTAATGGTGTTTTTTGTGTAGTCCCTTTGACGGGGTAACGACAAATGCATAGACTACTTTACTCTACCACCGTACAGATGATAGTAACCGTAAATTATCCACCTAATATTATTAATGGGAAAGTTTGAATGTTGATCAGGATGTTGGAAAAAAGAGTCAATTGGACGTATTTAAACAACACAGAATCAACCCACTTAACAACAGTTTTGTATATAGTAAAATTGTTAGTAATTTTTAATAAAATTTATTTACAATATTGTAGCAAATGGTGTGTTATGTGTATGCAAACCTAATATTGATGAAAATATTCATTACATTTGATAATAATTCACGAAAACTCGTTGATTCCTTTTTCATAACTATCTTTGTGTGGGTTGGTTCTTTATTAAGTTCTTTATTAAGTTATTAATTATCATGCATGTAATACTAGCTGTAATCTCAGTAATAGCACGGAGTCTGGAATTGTGCCCGGTATATGGCAATAGGCTCACCCCCTATTACATGGGACCCATAACATAAATAGTGAAAAGTGGGTGTTACATTGTACAGTGGCCTAATGTGCACCTCTGCCTACCCCTTCGGGAATAAAAGGCGTGATGTTATGTTATATCTAGCTGTTCCCTGCGACTTCGTCCGCATTTGGATTATATTTAATTTTTTCCATTATTAATTCTAAAGCTGTGTATCAAATGTCATTAGAATCGATGCAGTACCTAAGTTAGATCGTATTGTGCAATAAATCAATTTCATGATTTCAAAAAAATAAACAATCCCACGGTGTTTTTCCTCGTATAATGTCCCTATCCATGAGGTTAAAATAGGGGTGAATTATAGTCTGGAATAACACATAGGCAACATTTTTATACCACGTTATCCCGGGTGAAACGTCGTGGTGCCCCGGAGGTTTAAGACGCCTTCTTCTCCTCCATACAACAGCGAGTATCAATGTGACTGTTTCCGAGTCATATGTACTCTCTAAAATTATTTAGACACCACTGACACACGGTAAAGGATATCATCGTGAGGAAACCTGGACTTATAATTTCTAATTATAAGTTTGCAATCGCCAACCCACATTGAGCAAGCGTGGTGATTAATGCTCAAACCTTTACCGTGTGAGAATAGGCCTTTGGTTAGCTGAGGACTCTTATAGGCTGTTGATGATGATGATAATGAATGTGGGTGAAGTCGCGGGCAGAAGCTACTAATGGATAGTTTGCAAACTAAATCTACAAGTCAAAATTCAGATTATAAACTGAAGCTGGTTCTATAAAGGGTTGCCGCACATGTTGTTTTGTCAGTGCTATCAATGTCATGTCTTCGATCACTCACATACGCACATCCATTTCAGAGAGGTCACGTAGTGTGTGTGATCAAAGGTCCATCTTTCGATCGTAGTAGATATCAATCAAAATGCTTGTTTTCGGAATTGACATATGACTGACGTGTTTGTGTGAATCCTAAACGAATATTGCACGCTAGCTGTGCCCACGACTTTGTCCGCGTGGAATAATCATTCACAGCTCCTCTCCCGTAGGTGATAGCGTGATAATATGTAGCCTATATGTTAACCCGACCTGTTAGTAATATTCATGCAAAAATTGAAGTAAATCCATATATTTCTTTTTGAGTATAGCCCGGATATACATACAGACAAACAGAGAAAAATTCTAAAAAACATATTTTTAGGTTTGGTATTGCTTTTAGATCACACCCTAAGCATTCTTTTAAAATAATATTTAATGTACAGTTTTCACTTTCCTACGATTTTATTATATGTATAGATAAGATATATAGATATATAAATAGATGAACGACTATAATAGTCATTGCTTACTAAGAAGGGTTTATGTGTTTTAAGAGACATTTCTAAAATAGTACACCACAGGTCTGTCTTACAGACATACAGCATGGGGCATGCTTTTTAACTAAACAACTGACTGGTGTTGCAAATAACTGACTGACGTTGCGGGTGTCCATGGGCGGCGCTGATCGCTTACCATCAGGTGATCCGTCTACTCGTTTACCTTCTATTCCATAGAAAAAATAGCATTTTAAAATAGTAGTAACAGTCAATATAAGGTAATTATATTGTGGCAAAGAATATCCCATACGTACCACGTTTCTAAATTAAAAACATAAAAAATTACTAAAAAACAATAGGTACAGACTTAATTAGACACGTAATATCTAGACTCAAACACTGATGTCACAATCGAAATACTTATCAAGTTTCTTTATACGCTTCATATAGAATTTCATTCGAAGAACGAATTACAGCAAATTCGCTCTTTTCATTCATTCAGATCCATGAATCGTGAACGAAAGTATTTCATCACGTAAAATGAATGGAATCGAACAGTTTACTGCGATAGTAATCCATTAGTATTAAGTTATTCGGACTATCAAACGAATTCCGGTTAGTACTGGGTTGTTTTATTATGTTCTGTGGTGTCCGTGTTAAGGTTCAAAGTTGCGTAAACAATTCAGTTGAGTGAGTTTCGTTAATCGAGGGATTATAAGCTTAGCTGCCTAGGATTCAGTCTTAGTTTCATATTTTTGGCTAGGCAAAATGCCTTTGTTTTGGTATTATTTAACTTTTAGGACAAAACAATGTACTGCTGATATTTACACGACTTTTGGAAGTAAATGAAAATCCCACACTATAAATAGTATTTTTTTTTTTTTTTTTTTTTTTTTT